TACAAATCCAATTTCACATTCTGTGAAATATACATATATAAAAAAAAAAATAAAAATAAAAATCAGCAAGCACTCCTAAAAATTTCCAACTTTTCAATCTGAATTAAAAGAAAAAAATATAAAGCAGTTTTGTAACTCATAAAATTTTAGTAAAATAGAATACAAATTTTGTATAGAAAAATTAATTCGTTTCGACGTCTTTTCGAGTTCACCCAAACGACTTCACCAGACCGACATCGTAACGACGTCGTTTCGAACTCGTCCTCGCTCTATGGCAAATTGGGTATGTAGATGTTTCCATTTCACAGCCCCACTGTCGCATGTCTTCGAATTCATTTATGCTGCTTCGTGCTTTCCACCTCACTACACCCTGTATGTACATATGTATGTAAATATGTACACTCCCAGTGCGGCCTTCTCGCTTGCAACGAACTCCAGCTGTAGCAACAAGAAATTTACTTGAAAAACAACAAAAATAACGAGCACAGAACAGCCACAATCACAAAATTACAGGCACATACATACATACATATGTACATACATACATAAGTGTGAATTTATGTAAGTAAGCATGGTATAAACTCAGTGCAAGATACTGCCGACAACCACCCTTTGCATTTCGCTCCCCTTAGCTTCTACAACTTAACCACACTGGCTGTTGTGCTGCTGTTCCATTTCGTTGCGTCGTCGGCTCATTTCAGTCTCAGTTCGGTCGAAGTGGCTGTATTTCGGTTTGACTGTTTCGCCTCTGCTCCACAGTTTAGCTTACCATCACTTTACTGATTTTTTATTATAAATACATACAGTAGATATGTATGTGTGTATGCATGTTATTTTAGGCCGACTGCGGCAGTGACAGAGGGCAGCGATTGCGACGACGCGTCGTCAGCTGTGACTGCTTTCGAATTCTCTTATCGTTCGACATTAAAGTTGCTACTGCCGTTCTGCAACTGCTGAGTGTTGCTGCTGTCTGGTGCTGGCGCTTGGCGCTTGTACTCATATACATACAAAGGGTACATATGTATGTATGTATTTAGTTGTTGTCTTTGGGTTTTCGGTCTGGTTTTTTTGGGTATAGGGGTTGTCAGTCTTTCGCTTTTGGTGTACTAAAAGGGCAAACCCGTATTTCAGCGTGGGCCAACGGGCCACGGGCCATTACACTGGGCTTGGGGCGAGACAGCTTTGTGCGAGTTCTAGTACTTACCTATGTACATATGTATGTATGTGCTTACATATGTATGTAGGTAGGTATGTATGTATACTGTACACTTTGTGTCTTCTCCGCATGCTTTCACTTGAAAGTTGTTTTGCCAGTAAACGAAAATTTTGTCCCTTCACTAATATTCCCTGTCACTCACTGGCATTTTTTTTTGTTCATTTGGCCTCAAGCTGCCTGCAATAAACTTTTCGCCTTTTTCTTTTCCTGTCAGTTTTTAGTTTCGTTTTAATTTTTTTTTTTGTCCAATTCTTGCGGACTTCCTATCTTGTTTTACTGTCCTTTGACCTTTCTTCCGGTTATAAGTACATACATAAGTGTGTAAGTAAGTACACAGGTTATTTTCTAAAGTTTCCTTACCTTTTTGCAAAAGTATCCTTTACACCACGCTTTTTTTCAATATACATATACATATACAATGTCTTCGTAACGATAAAGAAGTTAACTCGAAGTTTAATAAAAGTAAAGTCGAAAAATAAGCCATCGTTATTCAATAAAGCTATGAAATTTTATGCATTTGTACTTAACTAAAACTTGTATGTATATTTTTTGGATTATCACAGTCTTGCATCAAAAGTACGATATATCGATGGCTGATTGGTAGATCGCCCTATCTCGGCAGCCAGTGTGAAAACGTACTATCTCAGAAAACTTTTCAAGAACGCCCCAACTCGGAATTTTATTGAAAAGCACCCTATTTCAGAATTTGGTAGAAGAACGCCCTATCTCAAACGAAAATATGTACATACATTGAAAATGTGCTGAGATAGGGCGTTTTTGAACTGAATTCTGAGATAGGGCGTTTTTCAATCAAATTCTAAAATAGGGTGACAATATGTAAATATCGACGGCCCTATCTCAAAAAACGTTTCAAGAACGCCCCATTTCAGATTTTTATTGAAAAACACCATATCTCAAAATTTGGTTTAACAACGCCCTATCTCACTTCAAAATGTATTGAAAATGTGCTGCGATAGGGCGTTTTTGAATCGGCAGCTGAGATAGGGCATTTTTGAAACGAATTCTGAAATAGGGCGTTCTTAAAAAGTTTTTTGATATACATAGGGCGTTTTCGAACTGGCTGCCGAGATAGGTCGATCTCTTCCACTCAGCAGCAGTCGATAAGTACATTAGGGCGCATCACTTTCCATAAAAAAAAAAAAACGGTACTGATATTCCATCGGAAATCTAAAAAAAATACATTTAGGAAAAATATTAAGGCTTATGGTCTGATTATGCTAACTTAACATAACTTACAGGCTCTCACTTAAAAATTCTCTTAAATGGATGTTGCTCATCCTTGAAAATACCGCCAAAAATCGAGTTTTTATAAATAAAATTGGTATTAAAGTGCAAGTTTGAAGTGGCTAGGACTAACCGTTGACTTTTGCCATTTTTATAATTTTTTATAAAAGGCAAAAATGCACAATACCGTGTGCAAAAAAAATTGCAAAAATCAACGGTTAGTTCCAGCTATGTACTTCAAACTTGCACTTTGTTATACTCAAATTTAATGGGCTACCCAAACCGCACACCTAGATTTTTTTTTATTTTGTTGCGATTTTGATGAACTTTTGTTAACGTTTACAATTTTTACTTAATTTTGTTAGATAGTGAGCTATACTTTTATAAAGTAAAAAAAAATTATAAACATTTAATAAACAAAAGAAAAATAGTCAAAACTTGTTAAAAAGTCGCACAATGGAGGAGCCCCTTTGAAAAAAATTAGAAGAATTATAGAAATCGGTTAACGTGGTCCAAAGTTATGCCGCAACATATAAAAAAAAAATATTCCGACGAATTGATAACATTCTTCTTTTTTTGAAATCGCTTAAAAGTTGTTTCTGTTTTATGTACGTTTAGTAGTTAAAAAACTGCTAAGTTTCAAAGTAATACACTAAAAAATTAATGTTTGACACTTTTTTTTTGTAACACAGTAAAAGTCGCTTTTTCGTTCAATACTTGTACCTCAGAAGTTTTCTAACGCTAGCGCCCTCTGTTGTTGTCAAAAACAGGAGCTGATAAATTAAACTTACAAATCTATTAAAGGTAAATACTATGTTAGATTTACAAAAATGTATATTACTTAAATATACTAAGCACTTTATTTTTTTTATTTTTTTTTTAAACACATAGATTACAGCGCCTCCTAAAGGGCTCCTAGAAGCTCCTTCTCTACCTATATTCCTCCATGAAAGGACTGGGTAGGGCGGGATTACTAAAAGAAGGAGTAGTAAACATCTTCACGGACGGATCGAACTTGGGGACAGGGTGGGTGAAGGTTTCTTCTGTCGGAAACTCTCCACCAAAACTAAATCCAGGCTTCCGGACTTCTGCAATGTCTTTCAGGTAGAAATAGTTGCCTTCAAGAAAGCGGTAGACCCACTGCTAAAGGGTGTGATGGGGGCCTCGAAATCGGTAAAGTAATGTCTGACCTCTCAGATTCGATCGCGTCGGAGTACTTCTTAATAAGGCTAGTTTAGGTGCCGGGTCACAGTGACGTCGCGGGAAACTGCGTGGCTGATGACCTGGCGTTGGAAAGGACCCCCTTAATAGTTATCCCCAGATAAGGAGGAACTAGGGACGTTTCTGTTCTCCTGTGGATGAAAAAGAGGATATCTAGGCCTTTAAAATGGTATATAATAATCTATTGTCGGACTAGGCTTGTTGGGATTTTTTATCGGGGAAATTAAAAAAAATACCCATATTTCTCCTATTTTTTTTTTTTTAATTTTGACCATCGATAATTTTTAAAAACCACGCACTCCACCAACGTAACGGTAATTCCAAAAAACTCAAAGGTCAAGCCTAGTACGACAATAGATTATTATATACCATTTTAAAGGCCTATATATCCTCTTCTCAGATCATATTCGTTCTTTGAAATCGAATCAAAAATAGTCATTCAAAAACTCATAAATCTACAAAATCGTATTTTCTGTCTTAAATCGACAGATCGCGACCTCTAAATGACCTTTAAAAAATGTTTAAAAATAGGCAATAATATTTCTAATAAAAAGCGAATAAAATTAGGGGGTAGCGTCTTGAAATTTCAAAAAAAAAAAGCATTTTCGATGGGCACCCTAATGTACATACCAGCATCAGTAAGCTGCCTCTATTAGCAAAACTTTAATGATTTTTGGCGAGTTCATAATTTCTTCGTTACATCTATGAACCATTTGGAAAATTTCGCAAGAACGAGGTTTTTTCAGGAGGACCAAGAAAAATTTTGTTGTAGATATTGGGTTTTCGTTTTATCAAGGGAATTCAAAAGAATTTTGTTTGATTTGACTAAAAAAAAATATTTTTTCTTATTTTATGTCCCCTGCAAAAAACCCTAAAAATGTCTTCCAGTATTTGTCCTTTTTTGTATAGTGTTGTTCTGCTTAAAAGAATTTATTGTGTACAATAAAAAAACACAGTAGTTACCTTCAGGTTTTAAAGCCAGCCACTAGCTTAGCTAGTTCAGTGTGCTGCACTTTGAAGTAAACCATCCTTTGCAAAAAAAATAAAAATACATTCGCCCTCTAAAGTGCCTCAAAAATTAAAATTTATTAACGTCCCCACAGATTTTATATAAATTCCATAAGCTAATGCAGAGCATATGGTTGTCTGCACGAATGTATGTATGTACATACATATATATGGCTGTGTGTTTAACAACTCCAAAAACATTTTATTCCTCTTTAATTATTCCACTCATCCGGTCCAGTCCTTCGAATATGTGAATTCAACTTTTTCACTCGCATTTTCTAACATATTTATTTTTCTCTTTTATTTGCAGTGAATTTTTTCGCTTGTTGGTGAATTCACGCTCGTTTGTGTGTGTGTGTGTGTGTGTGATATCGAGCAACAATGCCACCAGTGCCTGGAGCGACGTCGGTGGTGGGCACCACACCAGCACCCACACGGTCACCAGCCGCATCAACGACAACGACAACAACAGCAACAGCAGGAGGAAATAAAACCTCGCCACCTTACCGCGGCGCAACGGTGTCCTCGCAACAACAAGGTTCACCTTCGCGCGCACTGCATGGAAGTGGCACGGCCACCAGTATGGCCAGCAAGAATAAGCATCACTATAACAACAACAACAACAACAACAACAATAGCATCAAGATCAACAATTGTAATAACAACAGCAACAACAATGCCAATGGCAAATTTGAGCAAAGTCACAATAACAACAATAACAGCAACCATAAGTTGACAATGCAGCACAGCAATGGGGGTGGCATGAGCTTCGAGGGAATGGGAAGTGCGCGACAAATGAAGCAGCAGCAGCAGGAACAGCAACAACAAAACCAACAACCAACGAACAAAAATACCAACAGTGTCATGAAGGCCAAAACCAATGATATGCAAAAACAAACAACAACAAACGCAACAACAAAGTTGTCCTTCACCCAAACAACCACTCCGGCTACCGTTAATGGCGCACTTCCAAATAGCGTGAACAAGGCGCAATTCTGCTCGCCCCCTAGTAGCAGTGTTGTTGGCACGTCGTCACAATTGTCGTCTGCGCGAACTAATTGCAACACTAAATCACCGACGACTAAGCCGACAACGGCAACATCGTCGACATCCTCGACTGCTACAAGTTCGTCGCCGCCACCACCACCTTCCTCGCCAGCTGTGGATCCGTTGGCCTTGCCGACCATTACTTGTAATGGTGTCACTTCAACACCAGCAGCTAAAGCAGCAGACGCAACAATTGCAAAAGCAACAACAAATATGTCGACTATAAATCAAGATAGTGTGGAAATAAAGGAGGAATGCGATCCACAAGTGATCGTCAAGGTGGAGGAAACATCTCCAACAACAACAAAAGCAACGTCATCGACGCTTAATCAAACATCGGCACCTCCCACAATGACAACGTCCTCAACAAATCGCAAGGATACAGCTACGACGCTGGCGGAAGCCAACAACAAAAATGCTGCTGCTGCTGCTGCTGACGCACTCGTTCCCACCGACGATGCGTCTGTGGATAATCTGATTGTCGATAAGCCGCGTAAAGTACTATTGAGCGTCATGAATCCGCATATAATTTGTCACTTGTGCAATGGTTACCTTATCGATGCCACAACCATTGTTGAGTGCCTGCATTCATGTAAGTACTACCTACCTACAGACCTAATAAAATTAACTAAGATTTATGAAGTGCTTTAGGAGGGAAAATGAGAATTGATTTTTCAATAAGCATGTCGTCGATGTCCTTGAGTAGCTTATTGGTGAAATTAACTGGCAATTATTTTATAGCTGCTATTTCACTTAGCAACATACGTTTAGTTGGCGTATTGGGTGGCTATTACTGTTACATACAGTTACGGTCAAAGTAATAGAATCAAGATTCAAAATGATGCTGTTGGCAACTTACCTTTATTTATTTATTGTTAATAATTTTATTTAAAAAAATGGGTCGACCTACATACATATATCAGATACAACATAAATAAAAGTTTCAAAGCTTGCACAAAGTTCACAAAAACTAATTAAACTTAAAAAACTGTTCATTAAAAATTTGATTTTTTTTAAATTAGATTTTCTAGCAAGATTTCGAGTATGTAGTTTTATAGTCCATTCAATTTTAGTGCAAGTTTGAAGTCGCTAAAAATTACCGTTGATTTTTTAGAATTTTTTTGTCGAGGGTGTTGCTAGTTTTCTTCCATGTAACGCATGAACAAAACTTTCTTTTATATGGAAGAAAATGCGGAACACCCGTTGCAAAAAAAAAATTAAAAAATCAACGATATTTTTTAGCGACTTGAATTTGCACTTTATTATACTAAAATTGATTGAGCTACAAAACTGCATACCCGAAAATGTTCTTAAGATTCTGATTAAAAACTTTTAAATTTTGATGACAATTTTTTTAAGTTCGATTAATTTTTTTTTTGAAATTTGTACAAGCTTTGAAACTTTTGTTTAAGTATGTGGTATCTCATATAGGTCGACCGATATTTTAAATGAAAATTATTAACAGAAAAAAAAGATAAAGATAAGTTGCCAATAGCATCATTTTGAATCTTGATTCTATTATTTTGACCGTAACTGTATGTAGGTCATGAGCAAATTCATTTTTAATTTTTTTTTTTAGGGCTGTAGGGCAGCTCGTATAAAGAAGATTAGGTTAGTTGTGGTTGCATGGCTGCCACTACTACTTACATACTTGGACTCGAAATAAAAAGTAGTCTTTGTGATACCATATAAGGATTGGGAGAGGAGTCAAATGGGGATGGGGACAAGGGGAGAGGATCGACCGGTGACGTTTATACATATATAGACTCTGCAGGTCCGCAAAAAATTTCCGCAAGCGACTACTCCCGGAACTTCATCAGAAGTAAGATAGTACGAATAACTCGTACTTCCACTTGGTAGCAGACTTTCCCATTGTGAATTCTCTCTATGAGTGCCCTTGTCTGAAGAACTGGTCATTGACACAAGAAGTAGTGAATCGATCCGAACGAAAAATGACACTGAAGATGGCACAACGCCGAAACCGGTTTGTCTACAAACCAAATTTGACAAGGGATGACGGAAAATCGTTCCACATTACATCACACTGCTACCCTGTCGGAAATACCAACAACAAAAATGAGATCCCTCTTCCTCATCTCTACAACTTCTTAAGAGGGTGCTGGTTGGTATGTCGTTTGCAAAAAAAAAAAAAAATTTATTCGCCCTCCAAAGTGCTATAGCACAGTGTCTTATGATGAGGCCGGCAAGAACCCTTAATGCAGATTTGTTTGGCGTCACCAATTCTTCAGTGCGACTCTTATTGATTATCGGCCATAAGAATCTTGAGATTTCACAGTCGCCCCGATTGATCTACAATAGTACAAAGAGCGCTAACGCTAAGGTGTTTAAGTCTTGACGTCCCGAATTCTGGGCAGATAAAATCAGATTATTCAACCTCATCATCTACCATGCAGATGTTACAGTATGGGTTTAATGTTCAATCGGACGTACCCACCAGTATGGAGAACTAAAATTTTTTTTAACTTAAAGCGATCCTTAGACCATCTTCGATCTGCTCGTGGCCTGAATGTTTTAAAATAGATCTCCATGCCAGCATTTTAGGCTTTATGGCTCTAATCGCTCACGCCGACACATAAAACTTAAATTGCTTAAAGCCTGAAGGGCCTTAGCCACGTCCATTCCAATGCTTTAGTCCAGCGCTTACTGAGCTGAGCTAGACGTATATATATACATAGTGAAAGAATTTCCCCTAGACTCACTGTGTTCTGGATAGATGCGCTACCCCTCTATATTCCGACGGTTCTGTCACATAGCATGCAATGGATAAAACTGACAAGGTCTTAGGCAGGTTGTTTTTAAAAGAGTCCTCGATATTAAGAAGGCTTCGGCCACATGGTCCTTTTGCGAGAGCATGCTGATTGAATCTCAATCAAAATCTCAAGGGTCTTTGAAAGGAATAGTAAAAGATTTGTTCGTCTGAAATGCTTAGGCGGAAAAATTAGAGGACGTACCGCATATCTTCGGTACAAAAATTTAATTTCACACCCTCCAAAGTTTTGGGACTTATCTCCTGCTTCAAAAGCTCGCGTAAATGGCGGCAGGCTAGCAACACCACACCCGCGTTGAATTTTTTAGCTGAACAAATATGATGCCCCGGGGGCCAGAACCTTGCAGGGGTTGATTGAGTTGATAGCCCATAGAAGGCAACGATTCGCTCAATAAATTTAGGTGATTGAGACCCTCCGATTTCATGCTCGATCACTGGTTCAGTAACCCAAGTGACTCCCTACTGCTCTCTAGCGGAAAGGTAGAACAGGATTCCTAGCGAGAAACGTCGAAATCTCGACAATTCATGGCGGCATTCCACTTTCTAGCAGAAGTTTATCCATGATACCCGCTTGCCTTTCCTAAACGCGGACTTATATATAGCTTCTAAGTCCAATCGTATACAATTGTCAGTGAAAGCCTAACCGAATTCTCCTGACTCCTGAAGCCCTTAGATCAGAAATGATATTAAGTAATAGATGAAACTTTCAAACGTTTTGTAACCTCTATTAAACTCGAAAAATGAGAGCCCTCCTAATCTATTCACATTAGGGCGGTCCTTGAAAAATCAAATAAACGATTTTTTTCAGTCTCAGCCCCTCAATCGGTAATACCACATCCACAGATATCACATATAAATTGTGTTCCCGATTGGAGACGGTTAAGGTGTGTCGCACAGGGGGCAAAGTACAGATTCCTCTATAGAGACTCAAAAAATTAAATATTTTTTTCATCTAATACTCAAAATCGATACTCCATAGTCAAAGATATCACATAGTATAACCGATTGGAGTCGGTTAAGGCGTGTCGCAAAGGGGTCAAAATCCAGATGCCTCTATGGCCCCAAAAAAATTAAAAATATTTTTCGATACTACTAAAGTTGGGGAGATCACTTATAAATTTTGGTCCAGATTGGAGTCGGTTAAGACGTCTTCATACGGTAATCTGAACTTTGACCCCTCTGCGACACGTCTTAACCGACCCCAAACGAGCCCAAAATTCATATATGATATCTTCGGCTATACTTAGATCCATCGACGCAGGGGTTGAGGCTTAGGAAATCAGATGTAAAAAATTTGCTTCCTACATTTAAGGACCACCCTAATATACATACATGAAAGCAATGTTATAATTAATTTATTTTTCTTCTCTCTTCATTACAGTTTGTCATAGTTGCCTGATCAAACATTTACGGACGGAGCAGTACTGCCCACGCTGTGAAATGATGATAAACACGGCCAAGCCAAATATCAAGTGAGTAGGCATTGCTTGCCATATTATTTATACATAACTATGTATGTACATATGTATGTATGTAGGTATGGACACATTTATATATATAAACGCGCATGTATGTATGTGTTTTTAGTATAAGGCATTTATGTGGGTGATAAAAAATTTAATAGAGAATAAAGTTTTACGATAAATTGTGCTACAAATTAAATTAAGTAAAAATTTTGTATTATTCTTTGCCTGCAATTAAATGGCTATTAGCTTTGTAAAGTAAAAGAGATGGCCATGAAATCCAGGCCGAATGCTTCGAGCTTTAGAAGGGAGGACGAAATTGCTTCAAAGTCTTTGTGTGAATACCCAATTTGCCACAGGGCGAAGACGACGTCGTTATGACGTAGTTGCGACGTCGCTCTGGCGAAGTCGTTTTGGTGAACTCGAAACGAAGTCGTTTTTTCCATACAAAATTCAACATCGTTCCGACGTTGTTTTTTCTCATCGAATTGAAGTCGTTGCGACGTTGGTCTGGGGAAGTCATTTGGGTGAACTCAAAACGAATCGGTTTCTTCGAACCCACGAGTTTTTTGAGGAACCTTCGGTCTGGGTTGGACAAGTTCCACGCCCACATTATTATATATCTAAGTATAAATAAAAGTCAGTCATTTGTATAGTAAACCGTTTTGATTATGACAATTTTTTATTATGACAGAATATGGAATCCACAATGTACACTTGTACTCAGAAAACTGAGCCGCCTACATCTTTTTTTCAGTATTCATAATATTCTTCATATAATTTTTTATTTTTTTATATTTTTTTTATAAAGGTACAGTTCACTCTATTGGCCTTATTCATAAAAAAATAAAATTTGTGGGTATGAAGTTTTTTTAAATTTGGTATAAAACTGTACTTTTACTTTAAATCTGGTATAAATTTTGAGCATCGTTTTGCAGTTCGCTGGTATATCGTTTTTGCGGGCTGCAGGGGAGTCGTTACGACGTCGTTTGGCAAATTGGGTAGTTACCTATATATATTAGTTAATGTCTCGTTGAGACGAAGCAAATGATTTCCAACCAAATTTAAAATTTTCAGAACAAGTAACTGCTTTTTTATAAATAAAATGTAAGCTTTCTATTTAGTTGACCCTCAATGTGTTTATTTTTTTACGAGGTTTAAACATGGAAAGCCTGACCCCAATATCTTAAACTGTCAATGTGAAAGTTTAACTCACCAAACCTCCTACCGTCATGTACCGATCGTCGGGAGGTGGCGCGATGCTGTTTCTAGCAGTGCTAAGGCCCTAGGTCACGGCCTTGATCAAATACTGCTGCGGCGTCTGGTGCCACCATCTCGCAATTGCTTATTTATCCAAGCAACACGCTGCAAAGGATGGGCCAATTGCGCTCAAAAAGATGCATGTTGTCAAGTATGGCGTTTAAACTTGGGTGTGTAAAAAATATATACGTGGGAAGTATTTTCCCTAACGTTGTAGACCGTTACAACACTTGTTATGCAAATATCCCGCACTCTGTGCTAGTGTGGCCAGTGGAAGCCACTTCAAACTAACCCGGCTTGCCCGGTTTCAGTAACACATCTAGTTTTTGTACTTTCCCTATGTCTGAGATACATATGTACATATATTAAGGTGCCTCGTGAAAAAAAGTTCTTGTTTTTCCACCTGAATTGTATACTTTATTATATGTATTTTAATACTTATGCCAAAATGTTTCGGAAGAATATTTAGATCTACATGAGCTGGACCGATTTGAAAATATCTCCCAAAAAGTTTTTCATAAATATATATAATTAACTTTTTTTTTTGAAATTTTTTCTAAAAAATCAACTCCTTCGAAGAGTATAAGCTTAAAACGTCCTTAAAATATTATATATTGCATAATTCCGAAGTGAAAACAATACCGATTTTTTCTTTGTATGGACAGTGATGCACTCTAACGTACATACATACATAATCACTGCAGAGTTGCTACTATAAAGTAATCACTATTTTTCTGTTGTAATTATACATTTTATTATATATTAATTCTTATATTTATAAAAAATAAAAAAGATTTAAAGAGCTCTATAAAGTGACATTATTAATTTGGGTGTAAGGTTTCTGCTAAAATATTTTGAAAAAGTATTATGATTTACGTGAGCTGAAAACATTTGAAAATACCTTCAAAAATCGGCATAACATAACATAACATAACATTTTTCCGAAATATTTTGGCGGAAATCTTAAAATGTAATATATTTTATAATTCCAGTGGAAAAACCGCATCTTTTATTGGAGATCCACCCTAATGCACGTATATTCGTAAGCTTCTATGTCAATTCGTATCTTCAAATGTTCCCATGCACATTTAATTCAAGCTAACTACATACATACATACATTTATTTTTGCTTTATTAATCCGTCCAATTATTTCAATTCGAATTTTATTTTGTTCTCTGGTTCTTCCTTGATCCAACGTCTTCCCTGTCCGGTAGTAGATAAAATACGCGCCTCATTCATCTTGACAGAAAATATTTCATCCAAAAACTACTTGTGCGCGAACTCACCCTCTTTTCAACGCCGAAATCTTAACACTGCATTGCATCCCCTTCAGCTTGGCAATTCCGGGACAAGCTCGTTTTTTTTTGCTGATATCATCTGATTAACGGCATCTACAACCATGTAATGTGGCATGTGTGGCTGTGGCTTGCTAGCAGGCGGCGTGTGTGTTGTAATGCAAAAATAACAGGGACGATGTTCGCCAGGAGTAAAAGAACGTGAAAGCAACGGAAAAGAAAAAAATAAAGTAAAATAAAATAAAGGAATAAGTCGTTCGCGCACAAACGACAGTTTACCTTGGAGGGAAAAATAAATCCCGCTCTCCGGAAACATAATCAAAATGCCAATTAAGTGAATTTCAGTTGAATCGCGTGTTTTTTCTTTTTATTTCTTTTATTTTTATCTTTTTGTCTTGCGAGCATACCCTTACTTCTTCTGGTAGGGAATTTCGTGTGTCTGCTGCTTGTGCCCTTGTTGCCGACAACGTTACCCTGCCACTGAAGCGTCGTCATTATGTTTCTTCGATGCCTCATGCAGCGCAATAAACACTCACAATTAACCGGCGGGCGGGGTTTCGCTTCGATTTGCCGACGGCATGCACTTACGTATAGGTATGTATGTATGTATGTGTATGTGGTATTACAGAAGCGTTGGGGCCGTCACAATTTGGCCTTTGCATTGCGAGCACAGCTGCAAGTCTCGTATCTACGAACCAGTAAAGTGAGCTGCTCCAAAGTTAATGTGCCGTTTCCTACAGATTCCGTTCGTTTCCCAGCTCGTTTCAAGCAACAACGCGCACTAGGTGAAGTCACTCCATTCTCAGTTGTGTTTCAACACCTTAAAGTGCCGAGTAGAAAAAAACCGAAAGCAGCGAACATAAAAATGTAGCGAAACAGATTTAATGAGAATAACAGAAATATGAAGTTGGAGTGGCAAAACCCCAAAACGAAACGACGAAGGTGCAAGCAAAGCATGAATGCAAAAAGCTATGCACAAGAATGAATGGAAAGAAGGAAAATGTTTATAAAAAACTCGCCGTTGTGTATATGCTGGTAGTGCTACGCTCTCACGTTTGCTTTTCAAACGCACTCTGCCTGCTGCCCGTATTTCCATTTCGCTGCCACTGCTTGCTGTGGGTCGGCGGAGTGCTGCAGGCATTGTTTATTGTTTTATTTACATTTTTTGATTTTCTTTTTTATGCTTTTCCATTTTTACCATCTACTTGCTTGCGTTATCATTGTTACGTTGTTGTTGTTGTGCTGTTATATCGAATGTGCGTTGAATTCGAAATGCAATGTGGTGTATTGTCTGTCGTCATTGCTACCGAGATTCCTGCAGCGACAATAGGCAACAGACACTCACTCGTTTCGCTCCATTCTTTTAAACTTTTTCAAGCTGATAAAGTCACCCGCCACGTCGCTTGCCATCAGCAACAGCATCACCATTACCATCCGCTACGACAACATTGTTGTTGGTACGTTGTCTCACCCAGTGTACGGAAATCCACTAATAAATAGTGGTAGATTTCACATACAAAAAATGGTAGAAGTTGGTAGCTTTTTTAAAAGAAACAGTATTATATAGGTTAGGTTAGGTTAAACGGGCAGCTCTGAATAAGAGTTCACTCGGAGGCCGCAGAGGCCCATTGTGAGCTCCAGAGGAGCTTTCCCCAAGATATCCAGATTCTCGAAGAAGTGGTCCCCAAGAAACTTGAGGCGTTTTCCTCGAAGTGCTGGACACTCGCAAAGGAAGTGCTGGACGAATTCTCGCTCCTCCTCATCCCTGCAGCTTCTACAGAAATCATTATGCGGGGCTCCGAACCTGGCGGCCATGTGGCCAATGGTCCAGTGTCCCGTTAGTATTCCTGTGAGAAGCCTGACGTTTGACTTTGAAAGCCTTAATAGACTCCTTGTTCTTCGTTCATCGAGCCGTGGCCAGAGTGATCGCGATACACGGCAGGTGTAAAGGTTTACACACCTACTATTGGTAGCTGCCCTGGTCAGTCTCTCGACTTCTGAAGACACAGTATTAGATAGTTTTTACTCATATGCGATAAATCAAGGCGAATTTATATAAGATGATGTTACCACAAAATGATGTATGTATTTGTTATGATTCGCCTTGGGAAATATTGTATTTTTTTGATTGTATATTTTATACATAAAGCGGGGGCCGAATCCCGGAATTCGTGATCGAACGAAATTCGTTGCGAATAGAATGAAATAAAATTACAGCTGTGTTCTCTTAAATACTATTTCAATTGAAAGAGCGAACTCGCTACCAAATGCCGTAATATCACAAACAATTTTTACTTGCATTGGATTCGATCACGGCCTACTCTCCACCTCTTTTTTTAATTAGATTTTAAATGCTTGGACTTTGCGGACCTTTCGTTTGTCATTTTCTAACAAAAATGTACGATTAGCTGATAGAGATGCTGTTTCACTTTTAAATTGGTTATGGTCAGAGT